GTTGGTACCTACCATTCTTCGGGGTATATCACCCACAAAAACCAGGGCAGATCAGAGTGGTCTTTGACACCAGCGCGCAGCACCAAGGTATCTCCCTAAATAAAGTCCTTCTTACAGGACCCGACCTCATCAACAGTCTGCTGGGAGTACTCATACGCTTCAGAAAAGAAGCCGTGGCCATCATGGCAGACATCCAGCAGATGTTTTATTCCTTCTACGTAAGGGAAGATCACCGCAATTATCTGCGTTTCCTGTGGTTCAGCGATGATCAGCACAACCAACAGGTGACTGAATACAGAATGCGAGTACACGTTTTCGGTAACGGCTCTTCCCCAGCAATTGCTAATTATGGCCTTCAACGCACCGCCCGAATAGGGGAAGTCGAATATGGTGCCGATGCCAAACGCTTCGTAGAACGGGACTTTTACGTTGACGATGGATTAAAATCGGTGCCCACTCCCAAAGAAGCCATAGACCTAATAAAAAGAACACGCCAAATGTTAGCGGCAGCTAACCTTAAGTTGCACAAAATTGCATCCAACAGCAGAGAAGTGTTAGCGGCCTTCAACCCTGACGACCATGCGAAGGGGCTAAAGGACCTCGACTTTAGCACAGACGATCCTCACTTCCAACGTAGTCTTGGATTATGTTGGGACCTGAAGAAGGACGTCTTCACCTTCAGAACCCCGACAAAGGACAATGCCTTCACGAGAAGAGGTGTGCTTTCTACAGTAAACAGCCTGTTCGACCCCTTAGGTTTCGCCGCACCTATAACAATCCAAGGTAAGCTTCTTCTACGCACACTCTCCCAACATGCCACAGATTGGGACAAGCCGCTCCCTCCAGAATACAAACAAGAATGGGAAAAGTGGTGCAAGTCCCTCAGTTGCCTTCAAAACGTAGCCATTCAGCGCACGTATGCTCCCTCTTCATTAGCCGCCGCAACAAAAAGGGAGTTGCACATGTTCTCAGACGCCTCCACGCAGGCTATCGCAGCCGTAGGATACATCAAAGTCTACAGCGGGGAGAGCTGCAAGATTGGGTTCGTCATGGGAAAGGCGAAACTGACACCACTACAAAGCCACACCATACCCAGATTAGAACTTGCCGGTGCCGTTCTGGCCGTGGAAATAGCAGAATTAATAACAAAGGAAATGGACCTCGAATTGCAATCCACCACCTTCTACACAGACAGCAAGGTGGTACTAGGCTACATCCACAATCGAAATAGACGCTTTTACGTCTATGTAAGTAATAGAGTGGAAAGGATTAGAAGATCTTCAGATCCTAGTCAGTGGCGATATGTGTCAACAGACCAGAATCCAGCTGATCAGGCTACGCGGTCCATTCCCGCTACAAAGTTAGCAGATTCAGTATGGTTAAAGGGTCCTGATTTTTTGGCGCATCCAGGCAACCAAACGTCAGAAGAACCAGAGAACTACGAGCTGCTGGAACCAGATAAAGACAAAGAGGTGCGGCCTCAGGCACCCAACAATTTGATAGGAAGGAGCGAAACAACGACCACCCCGATCATTTGTCTCGCCACAGATATCAAGACAGTGATAAAGCCGTCTCTCCGTCATTCTCTAGAACCCAATCGTTTCAAACGTTTCTCCAGGTGGAGGCCTCTCATAGCAGGTGTCGCAGTGATAATTCGTTTCCTATACCGCGATATGAGCGTACCAGAGAGTCGTCTCCAGGCCGAAAGAGGGATCCTCCGAAGCGCGCAACGAGACTCATACCCATTGGATTTTGAATGTCTAGAAGCAAATAGGGCTCTTCCAAAGAATAGTTCTCTGCTGAAATTGAACCCATTCCTAGATAGTCATAAAGTGTTGCGAGTAGGAGGGCGTCTAGCCAAAGCCGAGCTAGCGTCGGACTTCAAACACCCTATCATCCTTCCGGCTCATCAACATACCACACAACTGTTAGTTCAATATCACCACAGCATCGTCCAACATCAAGGCAGACATTTCACGGAAGGCGCCATCAGAGCGGCAGGCTTCTGGATCGTGGGAGCCAAAAGGTGCATCGCCACCATCCTGCACAAATGTCTACATTGCCGTAAGCAAAGGGGGGCGACACAACACCAATTGATGGCTGACCTACCACCCGAACGCCTAATACCTGCACCACCTTTCACCAATGTGGGCTTAGATGTATTCGGACCTTGGGCCGTATCGGCTCGTCGAACCAGAGGTGGTCAGGCTAACAGCAAACGTTGGGCCGTGCTTTTCACGTGTCTCAGCATCAGAGCAATCCACATAGAAGTCATTGAGGCCATGGATTCTTCTTCTTTCATCAACGCGCTAAGAAGATTCCAAGCCCATAGAGGTCCAGTCAAAGTGTTTAGGTCTGACCGCGGAACTAATTTCGTAGGGGCCTGCAAGGAATTGCAAATCGATGAAGGCATTCGTCCCGAATCACACATTGGCAAGTACCTAATGGCCCAAAATTGTGTCTGGACTTTCAATCCTCCCCATGCATCTCACATGGGAGGAGCGTGGGAACGCATGATCGGCATAGCCCGCAAAATCCTGGACTCTATGTTGACTAAGACACCCACACTTACGCATGAAGTTCTCACCACCCTCATGGCGGAAGTTGCAGCTGTCATCAATTCTCGACCGTTAGTTCCAGTATCTTCGGATCCTGAGAATCCCACCATACTCACCCCAGCTATTTTATTGACTCAAAAGACAGGCGATTGGCCAGCACCAGCAGGAAATTTCTCCACCAGAGATTTGTATGTCCGGCAATGGAAGCAAGTTCAGCTACTGGCCAACACCTTCTGGAAGCGATGGAGGCACGAGTCTTTATCTACCCTCCAAGAGCGACGTAAGTGGAAGACCAAAGAACCTAACCTACAAGAAGGCGATCTAGTCTTGCTGAAAGACAAAGATGCTCATAGAAATTTTTGGCCCATGGGGCTCGTGCATCGAGCTCCGCCGAGTTCTGATGGTCTAGTTCGCCAAATCGAGGTTCAGATAGTGAAGCTGCACGAGAACGAGCGAGACTCCACGACCCTCGCAAAAAGACTTTATACCCGACCAATCACCGATCTGGTCCTGTTGCTAAAGAAGGACGAATTAGAAAATTGATCCTCAGAGTTTCAGCCGATGTTCCTGATTCTTCAGTTCCAGCTGTTCCTGGGTCTCCAAACCCAGCTGTTCCTGTGTTTGCAGATCCAGCTGTTTTTGTTTTTCCAGGTTCTTCGGCTCCTGAGTATCCTGTGAATCCAGTTACCTTTGTTCCTGAGAAGCTTTGGGTTCCAGTTTTTCTGTTCCTGATTTAGTTCCAGTTTCCATTACAGGAAGAAGACCTTGTCTCACTTAGAGACAAGAACGTATACCAGAACTATAGGCCCATGAAACTTGCGCAACGGGACCACCCAGTTGATGAACACTTGTACCAGGCTGATCACTGATCTGGGACCGTTGCTGATGAAGACTGAACTAGAAGATAAAACCTCAAATTGTGTATTGTGTTTATGCATTGTTTGATGTAACACTTGCTTATTTTTCTTGCATATTTGTGCATCCTTATACTCACCTATTTAGTCACAAGTTAGTTAACATTGATTACTGTATGCTTAATGCTAGGTTTTGATAGTTCAGTTAGTATTTCAGTTAGTTAGTAGTGGAAATTTAAATTTCCAAGCGGGGAGTATTCTGGAACCTGGCAGTTATTGGGTTAAAGGTTGGGTTTGTTAATAGGTCAATGGGAGGAGTTTCAAAAGGGCATTGGGTGACTTCCTGGACACAAGCCAGTTTGGAATGTCTTTTGTCTGAAAAGAAGCATGGCCCATCAGATGTCACCTGATGAGCCTGTACCGGTATAAAGACAGTATGAATAGAGCACCATTTTTTCTTACCAAGAGAAATGAACAAGAGACGTATTGTCAGAGACAACCGGCATGAATGCAAGTAATCTATCTGATTGAAATATATATTTTTTGTTATGAAATCATTTCTTTGTGTTATCTGTCTGACTTGATTTAAAGAAGACGTTTTTAACTCAGAGTCAGAATAGAAGGCACCCACTTGCTGCTTCGCTTAATGTCTTCAGCACCTTTCCGGATTCATTCTCAACCTCCTTCAGAATTGTAATTCTAGGAAAGAATTCTTTTCTGTAATCTGGATGATTTGGGTGGCAATCTTTATTCTTATCTCTGCATTTTCCAGCTAAACAGAGAGAAAACCCCAATATGGATTGTGCGCGCTCGGCTCGCAGTTTTTTCCAGTTGTGTCAAGTTTGTGGACTTTGTGCTGCGCGATCAGATACCGCCCCTCGCGGAATAAACTGGGGGCGGGGGCGGGGGAAGGCGGCGAGGCTCCGCCTGTCCCTTGATCCGGAAGGCGGGGCGAGCTTTTACAGAAACTTCGTTTCTCCGCTTGGGGTTTTCACCGAGCAGCAAATTCGCCGTGCGGAAGAGGCGGGTGTCCGAACTGGCGGCGTGGCCGGAGTTGGAGAGAAGAAGAAGGGGGGCTTGGAGCTGCCGCGCTTCCTCATCCTCCGTAGCTTTGGAGTTCCCGTAATCCGGCGCCTCTTTTCAGAGCTTCCTCTGTTCCTTGGGAATGTTTCTGTGCGGATGGGCGGGCTCCTTTCTCCCCTGGAAACCAGCCTGAAGTTTGGGACTACATCAGGACTTGCAGGGGGATTGCCCCTTCCCTAAATTCTGTAAGACTGCCTGCCTGCCTGCCTCTCCAGACAGAATGGATCCATTTGAGTCCTTCTTTCTATGTAGATTTTAAACTGATCCTCAGTGCCGGGGGAGGGGGGGAGGATGGGAATGGAAATCCACCCCTTGGCACAATGCCATACAAACAGAGCAGCGTTTCTCACTCTTGGGAACTTTAAGATAGGTGGATTCCAGGTAGCTGGGGAATTCTTGGAGTTGAAATCCACCTGTAAGTTCATCCATACACTAATATATTTATTGTGTGCCTTATTTTTTTTCCATCTAGAATTCCAGCTATTACTCCCTCCCTCTTCTTAATATGGCAGTGGTGGGTGAAGACCCCGCCAGATTTACGACAGATGCTCTGCCTTCTGACGCCAGACTCCTCCCAACATTGACAAATGCCTATCTGGGCACCCGAGTCTACAGGGACATCCTTCATGTCAATGGGGTGTACAATGGAGCAGTTGGGCAGACCCATCGGGCTGATCTCCCCAGTCCCGTCAATGTTAAAATGGATGTGGATGGGGCTGATGACCTGAGGGAGACCTTCTGTCTGGACACCAGGACAGGTAAGTGACAATGCCGCTTTCCTCATCTACATTGTTTTGGTGGCCAATACATTCCTGCCACCCTGTCAGGGCAGCCTTCTTCAATTCACATGCTGAACATAGAAATTAGCTTTTGTTTTGAAAGACAATATGACTCCACGATTTATAAAGGAGAAAAAGGGGGTGGATTTAGAAAATCCAAAGTGGGCTATGTTCTCTGAAGTTTGAATCCCTTCCTAGCTCATAAAGGAATCTGAAAATTTCTCAGATGAACCTATTTTGAAAGGCATCTTTTAAAATCAGCCTCCCCAACCAGATCTCCAGATGCAGCAAAGTAGTCCCCATTTGCAACAGGATGATGCAAGTTGTTGTCCAGCATGTCTTATCTAACTGGGAAGCCTCCTAAAACCTTCAACCTGGAAGAAGACAAGAATTTTTAAGATAGGAATGTATTTTAATTACAGCAGAGTGCTCAAAATCTGGAGAACATTTTCACCTTTCTGTGAAAATGGATATGGTAGCGATGTGAAAAACTCACTGTATTTTGAGGAATTTGGTGAGATACTTTGATTTCTCTTGACATATTTAAGAAAAGTTCTCTGTTAACCTGCTTATTTTTCATTCTTGGTTGCTGAACAAAGGTGAAGGGGGGAAATGTTCACCTAGCTGCAAAACTTTTCTTATCTGTAAAAGTCTTAGCCTCTTTAGCTCCCATCCTGAGAGTCATGGGCCACCCTCTCCAGGTCAGGTCTTGCAGTCTGGATACCATAGCAACAGGGTCATAAAGTCATGATGCCAGGTTAATAAAAACTCTAGTACTGGCCTTTACACTGGGGGCTTCTGCACAGAACCTAGCCCTGGTTACTGTGAAAATCCCCCCCCATGGGGTATTACTGCTGTCCTTATGAAGGAGCTCCTAACAGTTTGTAAGAAATTGGGTATCAGCTTGCTTGATACATATGCTTTTTATGTTAAGCTTTTAAATCTGTTATGTTAAGTTAATAATAAACCCCTAAATTTCTTTATTCACTACTATGTTTATTGTCTCGGAATCCAAATGACCAATTGTGTGACACTTGGCAAGACAATGGATCATCTTTCAATCCTTAAACTGGACTTCATTTAATTGTTAAGCAGACAATCACAAGCAAAGATCTTTTTCACATTTCAGTTCATCAAATAACAGAAGGATTATATTGTCGGCCATGTTTAAATTTCTTGTGCCAGACCCATTCCCTTGTGTGAAATTGCAAAGTAGATTTGATGTCAGAATTTAGAGTGTGCATTCAAACTGACCCTTTCCTTCCCTCTGTAGGGACGTATATCCATACAGCCCAGTGCTCAGAATATACAGCTACTCATACGATTTATGCCCACCAGTCTCTTGTCCATCTCCTGGCCTTCAACATAACGATTGCAAGGTCAACTCTCGAAACTAAGCCCATCACAGTGAATCTCCACACCCAGTTCACACCCGAGAGTCCAGACCTGGACTTGCAGAAAGGGCCAGATTTCCTGGGAGCTCAGTGAGTATTATTGTGGGAATGTTTTTTGTGGCTCTTGGCCAGGCATTGAAAGACTGCGATAACAAAATCTAGTTATATTTCTTGTGGTTTTGAGTAGGGAATAAATGCAGTCCCCCTCCAGAGAATACAGGGAGACCTTGAGGAAACACCTATCATGTTAGAGGGTGCTTTGGATTATAAAAAAGGGTGGATTTTTGTTTAATATTTCATTCCGTAACCTGCTGTCCTCCAGATATGCTGGCTCTACAACTTCTTGAACTCCCAACTAGCTTGGTCTACAAGGCAGAGTGATTAAGGGAGAAGAGAACCATTGGCCCCTACACTTAAAAGGTATAGGCAGAATTACAAAGAATAAGGAGAAAGGAAAGATGGAAAAAGTGTTAGATTAGCGTTCAAAAAGTATGCAGAACAAATTCTTGGTGCTCAACGGATATAAAATTCCAGGGATGTTTCTGTTGTTTAGTAGATCGTCTAATCTCCAGAGAGAAACATAAAGATTCCCTTTTTTTTCTTTCTCTTTAGCTATTTATATGGAAAGACATTGGTCCCAGAAGTAGAGGGTGGCCCCCAGCCTACTGTACACATGATCTGGACCCCGGTGCCCCAATCAGTGACCCTCCCTGGAGATCACAAGGAGCAGAGGTGGGAGTTCCTCACTGCCATAGCAGAGACTGAAGAGGATGTGCAAAGGACCTTTTGTGAAGGGATGTCCCTGATCGGATCTGGTTCCTTATATCTGTCTCACATCCAGGCCTGGGCAGCACTCTGGGAAGGCTGCTGTGTAGATGTGGATGGGCCTCTTTCCTTGAGCCAGGCCATCTATGGCTGCCTGTATTACCTGCTGAGTGCCATTCCTCCTCTGGGCTCTGCTGGCTTCCCTTTCTCTGGAATCAGCCCAGGAGGCCTTTCCAATGGCACCTCTGGTGAAGACTACTGGGGCCATGTCTTCTGGGACCAGGTGAGCAAAGGGCACTGCCTCAGTTTTCTACTACTGTAAGAAGTGGAGATGAATGCATGCCAGATCATCATCTGTCCTGCAGCTAGTGTTAGCTTTCTGTGATGCTCACGCAAAGACTAAAAGGTGTTGTGAATTTTGCATAGTTCCGCCTCTCTCAGTTACAGATTGATGTAAGTGCCATGCAACTAACTAACTGTTAGTTCAGATATGTGACTCAACCTGGAAAGTGAAGATAGAAAGTTAGACTTAGTTCGTCTCACCTGGCATACGTAGGGTACGATGTATGTGTGTGTTTAATCTAGGGATCTTTTTAAATGAAGGTGACATGGATTGAATCTGGCCATTATCTATGTTCTGTCCTGAGGCACAGTCTCTGCTTCTCAAATAAAATATCTTTTCAAAATAGTCATCAAGTTGGAAGGTTTTCTTAGCAAATGACCTGAGTCTGGATCTGTCTCTCTTTCTCCTCTGCCATCTCCCTCTCTGTCCTTTCCTTTATAACTTAAGCTTTGTTAACCTTTCAGTTGTTTCATCTGACATATAAAATGCCATATTTTATTATTGCTCTTCCTGATCTAAACACGCCCCTAAACTGTGATGTGTATTGGAACTAGCTAGGCCAGGGGTAGGCAACCTTGGCTCTTTTATGACTCGTGGACTTCAACTCCCAGAATTCCTGAGCCAGCCATGCTGAGGGAAAAGGGAGAGGTTTCCAAGCTGAGCCACGCTGGCTGAGGAATTCTGGGAGTTGAAGTCCACGAGTCATAAAAGAGCCAAGGTTGCCTACCCCTGAGCTAAGCATATTCAGTATGAGATTCTGGGTCCATCATTTTTTTCTTTCGCAGTAGTAAGAGTCTCCTGAGGAGCTTTGATATCAACTTTCCACCAGCCTCCTGCCCCAGAGAAGAATATTCATCATGTGGTTCTCTAGTTTGGTCTTTACACTGAAGCCACATCATTCCTGGGGCCCAGATTTTGTTTTGACAGTGGGGTTGAAGAAGCTTGTCTCCCAGAAGACTCCCGCTCTCCTCATCCGAAGCGGGGACTCTTATGGGAAAGAAATAACTCCTGGCTTTACTCTAATGTGCAGATCTTTTTGCATTTGATGGCAATATTTATATATATGTTATCCTTTTTTTGTTTTTAAACCCAGGATACCTGGATATACCCAAACATCTTGCTTTTCTATCCAGAAGCTGCTTGTGCTATCCTAAAATACAGGATCCGAACACTAGAGGGAGCTCTACACAACGCACAGGAACAAGGCTACAAGGTAGAAGCCTTCTTGCATTTCTTACCACCAAAGGAAAGAAAAACCTTCACAGCAGGGACCCACAAAAACAAAAGCAAAATTCTGGAGCAGCAGCAGAAGGTCCTTTGAAACAAGGGTGGCTCTAAACCAGTGTTTCTCAATCTTGGCCACTTGAAGAGGTATGGACTTCAACTCCCACAGCTGGCTGGGGAATTCTGGGAGTTGAAGTCCATACCTCTTCAAGTTGCCAAGGTTGAGAAACACTGCTCTAAACAGTTACGAAAGCCTGGATGATATTCAGAAGCAGCTCTTGCAATCTGAAGTGGGGAAGACTGGAAGCCGAAGAGCAGGAAGTGGGGTCTAAACTGAGGAGATTTTAACTCAGAAGTTAGAGGACTTCTTTTCCAGAGTCAGACCTTGCTCTGAAGACAAGTCAGGGATTTTTTTCTCTGTTCTTCAGAAAGCATAAATGGTGGTTGGAATAGGCAAGATGCTCCAAATTTCAACAGGTTAACTTGAAAAGAATTTATGAAAGAAACTGGACAGCCATTTGTCCGAAATGGTATAGGGTTTCCTGCGTGAGCAGGAGGTTGGACTAGATGACCTCCAAGGTCCCTTTCAACATTATTATTATTATTATTATTATTATTATTATTATTATTATTATTATTATTATTATTATTATTATTATTATTATTATTATTATTATTATTATTATTATTATTTCTGAAACAGCACAATGTCTAGAATTTATTAAATAAAATAACTTGGACCAACCACCAGTAACTCCACATTAATATATAAATCATTTGAAATTAAGCTAAATAAATCATTGGAGTCATAGTATAGTGGTTAGAATGCAGCATTGCAGGCTAATTCTGCCCACTGCCAGCAGTTCAGTTCTCACCAGCTCAAGGTTGACTCAGCCTTCCATCCTTCCAAGATCGGTAAAATGAGGACCCAGACTGTTGGGGGGCAATATGCTGATTCTGTAAACAGTTTAGAGAGTGCAGTAATATTGGGTGGTATATGGAGTGGTATATAAGTGTAAGTGCTATTGCTGTTGGAGTAAGTTTTTAGACCTCAGTGTTACAACAATAAGCTTAAACAACAATGAACAATTACATAGTAACAATTTCTAATTCTGAAGAGCACACTTCATTCAGAAGTTGGCTGCTAAAACACCAGTGGCGCCTGTGTTAACATGGGTTCAGAGGGCACAAGCATGTAAGCATTTTTCAAATGTGCTACTTATTGCTAAGCTTTAAAATCAATAAATTTCATTCTCAGTAATGTCATGGTAAGCTATAGGGTGGGGGTGAGGGTTAAGTCTTTGAAACAGTCTTAACTCCTGGTGACTGTCTGCACTAATCCCTGCAGTTTTCTTGGCAAGATTTTGGAAGTGGCTTGCTATTGCCTTCTTCCTGGATGAATGACTGCCCTAAGATCACCCAACTAGATTTCTGCCTAAGGGGGAGACTAGAACTCAGAATTTCCTGATTTCTAACTTGACACCTTAACCATTCCACCAAACTGGCTATAGGCAAATCATTATAAAGCCTGACAACATCTAACTTGCAGCATTGGCATCATGACAGAAAGCTTGCCTATTGGATCCAGACAGTGGCCCTCGGATGCCATCTTCCTGGGTGATCTTCTTTCCTATGAACATGTGGCTGAATACTGAAGGCGGTGAATTCAACACACACACACACACACACACTCCCTCGCATGAGTCTTACCCCATTTGACTCAGTCAGAGCTATTCTTTGCCAACCAACCAAGGCACAGAATGACATTGAAAAGTTGCCTTCCCTCACGGAGGACAGAAACTGGATTGAGCAAAGGAGGCCACTGGCCAGTCTCTAGCAGGCTCTTCTGTCATGCAGCAAAAAGCTGCCCATTCCTGACGAAGCCTGCTCTGGATTTGGAAGCCCTCAAAGAAAGGAAACGTTTTACTCCTTAATATGCCTTGACCTTGTCCGGATATTTTATTTTATTTTGGCTTTGGTTTTGGCAGGGTGCAAAGTTTCCCTGGGAGAGCGCAGCAACAGGCCGAGAGGTTTGCCCTGAGAAAATCTATGGAGACAAGGAGATCCACATCAATGGAGATGTGATGCTGGCATTCGAGCAATATTTCTGCATCACTCAGGTAGCTGGGGGTAGCCAGTTTTGCCTCCTGTCCTGCTTCTGTTTATGCCAGCAAACCTGGTTAGTCTGTCTGAGTCAGACGGCCAATGGAATCTCTCCTGATGTGCTTCTAGGATTTGAAGCTCTTTCAGCAGGAAGGCGGCTGGGATGTAGTCCAGGCTATCGCTCAGTACTGGTGCAGCCGAGTTGTGTGGAACTCTGAGGAAGAAAATTATCACATTGTTGGTAAGTATGTACGGGAATTCCTGAGCAGGGATAAGAGTCAATTCAGTGCATCTTCTCTAGCAGCTAAAGCTGATGAGGCAGAACCTGTAACGATAGGTGAGAATGACCTTGGGAGACAAGAGAAAGAGCAGTAAAGTTTTCTTTTAATGCCCAAATGCATTGCAACCAATGTGCACCCTTGGACCTTTATCCATCAATACTTATTATAAGAGTAATTCTGGGAGAGAAAAAAAGATTGGACAGGTTATAGATGTCCATTCCTAACCATGAGGACATCACAGTGATGCCTGTGGAAGGGCTGCTGTGTTCTAAAAACGTCTGCCTCCTTTTAGGTGTTATGCCTCCAGATGAATATCATTGCACTGTAGATAATTCTGTCTATACAAATGCAGTTGCCCAGAGGAGGTAAGAGATTTCCAGAATCGCTGATCCTACTTCTCCGTCTTTCTCTTCCAGAAATTCTTCTGTGTCCTTCTCTTCTTCCAGAATTGCTGTTCTTTCTTATATGTCCTTTGACTTTTTTCTACTTTAGACTTTTTTTTTTGGTTAACATTGAATTCCGATTCTTAATACATCTGTTATACAAATTTAAATAATTGAAAAGCTCATCGGCATGCTCTATCCTTCAGGAATATAAAGGATAATGATGATAGGCTGAGCCTCATGTCATATTTTAGTCTGGCTGGCTGGGGAGTTTCATCTCTTCAGCCCAACTCTTGGGAAGATGCTTTGAATTTTCTGGTCCGAAGTGCAGTATATTTGTCAACTCCCCCATCCTTCCCACTTCCAGTTGGCACAGAATTTACTTTCTGGTTTCCAGGAGGCGTTGACCTTCAAATGCAGCAATGATTTAAGAATAATCTTTCCCCCTCTCTCCTTCCTCACCCCCTTTGAAAAAGATACTGCCCATGTAAAGAAAGAAAAGGAGGCCAATCAGATAAAAATAGAGTAAGATTTTTTTTATAAGGATACTCTGTCTTACGAAATATATATTGCTTCTTTGCAAATTGTAAACTACTTTTGGTGAGCCTCCCCCTAACTGGTTTGAATAATACAAAATCAAGCACAAATTTCTAAGCACTTTTAAGGATTATTTGGGAAACTTTTTCAAATTCAGTTCATGTGTGTGACTGTTTCTCTAGCTTTAGATCAGTGTTTCTCAACCTTGACAATTTTAAGGCATGTGGACTTCAACTCCCAGAATTCCACAGCCAGCAACGCTGGCTGTGGAATTCTGGGAGTTGAAGTCCACATGCCTTAAAATTGTCAAGGTTGAGAAACACTGCTTTAGATGTTGTCATCACATCCCTACTCATTACTGCTAGGGAAGACATCCCTTGTGTGGGCAGTTATGGAATCATAGAATTCCAAATTTGGAAGAGTCCGGTCTAATCTTCCACATTTTACAAAAAAAAAAATCCATTAAATAATCCATGAGTTTTGGCTATCCAAGATCTCAGTTTCCATGTCCATTTAAAGACACTCTAAAGAAAAAGGAATGGAAATACACAGATGATAAAGTTGAAAATGTTGCTGCTGATTTTCTTAGTTTCATTCTTTGAAATTTATGAAAAAGCAACAGCATTGTTCAGAAATATTCGGTTCCCAAGTAACACTGGTAAAAAGCAGAAAGGTTGAAATACAATTGCAAACCTTGTGTAGATAGTTTCTGAGACTGTTAATGTAACATTTAAAAAAAAAAAATTCTGCCTACCCTGGTACTAGTCCACAAAGCTTCTTAAGTAGCATATTCTTGATTTGTCTTCTGCAACAAAATGTATACCGTTGTACCTTCGGGATGCCATTTAATTTCACAGGAGTAAACATTAAGCAGATATGACATCACAGTGATTAAAACATGTTGGGATAAATAATTTAATACCTCTTTAATATCAAATTAGGAGCAATCTCAAAGAAAAAACAAGTGCCCCAAATCTGATGTTGTTTTTTAAAATGCTAAATGTCAAAACATTTTTCCAATTTGTAATTCTCCGTTAACTCAGCTAGATATTTTTCTCTCCATACCGTTTTAGCTTGAAATTTGCAATTGACTTGGGCTCCCAGTTGCATTTTGTTATCCCTGAAGAGTGGAAGGAGATTATGAAGAAACTTAAAGTGCCTTTGGATAAGAGTAGATGGTACCATCCAGAATATGATGGATATTGTCCAGGTGAGGGACTCAGAAGAAGAAACCAAGGTGTTCGTCCTATCTTTAACACCTGCAGGTCAAATTGTTCACTTAATTGTGAAAATATAACCTTCACTCAACCTACATGCTAATGTGGAGGGCATCAAGTTAACATTTTACACAAAATTCAGTAGTCAATAGTCATTCTTGCTCAGGAGTGTGCTTTCTCTACTGCAGGAATGGGGATGAGGAGAAGAATAGTGTAAAGCCAAGAGATTTTTCTTTTCCTCTCACCAACAAAAAAAGGCAAAATTGTTGTCTTCTCACTTCCATTAACTCTGATTTTTTTGCCAGGAGGAATTAGGAAGCTTTGTTTTCCCGTTTTTTTCCAATTATCCCCTGGAATCCTCTGATTGCCTAAAACTGTTTGAAACCCTGAGGACAGCATTGGTTGTGTCAAAGGCAGCACAGGCTTTTGACACTACATATGGCTTTTGATTATGAGTTGCCTATCCCTTCAAGAGGGAATGTGTTGGAAAGACATAACTCTCACATATTGGCTAACTTATTATTTAACTTGGTCGGCCAGATACTAGAATATCTGCAAGTTGCTTCTTCAAATGGACATTTTAGCCGGCTCCTAGAGCTTTATTGCAATAGGGTTTTTAAAAAAACAACAGGAGAGCTTTTCTCACGTGTTAATGTATTGTGACAGCTGCTGCATCTTTGCTTCCTATACATCAAGATTCTTTAACATAAGTAGAGGCTTTCTTTCTGTATTCCCACCCCCTAATCAAAGGAAATGTAGTATGAAAATGAGATGTTTCATTTTTTTAGCAATCATCATCCCACATCTTGGCCATATCAGAGCTTTGCTTCATGCCTCTCCCCATAGGTGAGCCAGTGAAACAAGCTGATGTTGTCTTGCTTGGGTTTCCTGTCATGTACCCCATGGAACCAGAAGTCAGAAGGAATGATCTAGAAATCTATGAGCCTGTGACTGATCCCCAAGGGCCAGCCATGACTTGGGTAAAAAGCTGACCTTGAGGAAGGGAGCAAGTGATTTCTGTCTTAAAAGTGTGGGGTCGTGCCCATCTGCAGTGCATCTGTTTGAATAAGGGTGTGTTGATGGTAGAGGGCACCATCAGTGGTACCAGTGTCTTTCTCCCTTCAGAGCATGTTTGCAATTGGCTGGTTGGAGTTGAAGGAAATCAAAAGAGCACAGCAACAAATGGACAAATGTTTCAGCAACATCACCGAGCCATTCAAGGTCAAGCAGTTGGGCACATTTTATTCCTGTCTTTAAGTTCTACTCTTAACAACAATCATCTATATATGTGAATATTTAATCTTCATTTTCTTAGATCTGGGTGGAAAACTCTGATGGATCAGGAGCTGTAAATTTCTTGACTGGGATGGGTGGATTTCTCCAAGCCATCTTTTTTGGATATGCTGGGTTCAGGTATAAATTAGGTGAAGAAATTTGTCACAGTTTTCTTCCTAATCAAAATCGTGTGGTGTACCAGAACATGTTCTGTTGTAGAATGAATGGAGACATACCTTCCCTAACCTTAGAGTTTCCTGTAATTTATTTCTTAGCTATCTTATTGTGTATTTGATTTAAACTGTATCTCTGTATGCTCAGAAAAGTTGCATGCAAGTATGTGTAACTGGGAATAAGTCCTTATAAAAAGATAGCAAAGATACAGGTTAGAAAGGTTACATCTAAAAATAAATCTAGTGCAAATTTTGTAACAAAGTATTTTGTAAAGCAATACAGAAATTTGATAGAATGAATTCATTTAGCGCTTGCTGTGACTGATTACTGTCTATTCAACAGGCCCTTTTGTGTCTCACTACACACACACACACACACACACACACACACACACACACATATATATACATACATACATACATACATACATACATACATACATACATACATAATTGTATTAAAATTAGACTGTTGGTTTTTGGAAATGCCAAAGTGGATTTGATAACTATTTTTAGAAGTCAAAGTAAGGGGGGAAAAAACAAGCTTTCCCCACTGCAGACACTTCTAACTGCAGTCATTAAACTCCTTTTGTTTCTGCTAACCGGAAATACCATTAGCTGGGCAGTCAGTATCCCTCAAGCAGGAAGGTCTCCTTGGATTAAGACCATCTTGTCTTTTCCTGCCAAGTTTTCTCACCACATTTTGGTTTGGTGTAGCCATAGAATTATGCCCGTACTATGAACATCTCATTGCAAACTAGGTAACATCATGGGTGGTATGATCATGTTATCTAGTTTGATAATGAAACATCTGCAAGAAAAC